AACAAGCTGTATTTCATATTACTAAATGAGTCACTGGCTCTTGTCATGTTTTAGAACAAGCTGTATTTCATATTACTAAATGAGTCACTGGCTCTTGTCGTGTTTTAGAACAAGCTGTATTTCATATTACTAAATGAGTCACTGGCTCTTGTCATGTTTTAGAACAAGCTGTATTTCATATTACTAAATGAGTCACTGGCTCTTGTCATGTTTTAGAACAAGCTGTATTTCATATTACCAAATGAGTCACTGGCTCCTGTCATGTTTTAGAACAAGCTGTATTTCATATTACTAAATGAGTCACTGGCTCTTGTCATGTTTTAGAACAAGCTGTATTTCATATTACCAAATGAGTCACTGGCTCTTGTCAAAGTAATGAACCAGATACATTTCATTGAATCACAAGTCACTGTTTCTTGTGTGTGAAATAGCCATCAACTATATTTGACCGATCGTTTACAAGCGTACTAATTTTGATTGATGGTTTGATGTTAGCATAGCAGTGGCAAAATAAATGTCAGCATAGCAAATAAGAAAATCTTCAAAAGCTATCAAATCAGCACTAAGTAAGGGAAGTATGACAAATAGTCATATCACCATGTATAGATCAATAATATCTAGAATTATCAAATTTCTCAGCTGGAAAAAACGGTGTTATTGTCACGAAAAAATAAAATTTAGCTACAATGTATGTAATTAAGAGCGTAAGAATTAAGGAAATAAGCTCTATTTTAGGATTTCCTAGGGTTACATGGTATAAATAACATTTATACTACACATTAAATAACGAAGTACAACAAAACATGAAGAACAATAATATATAGTTTTGGTAAAACATTCCCTGATTAGAGTATGAGAGTTTGGAAAAAGGTGATTTTAAATTGAGCAACATGAATAGATCTATTTTTACACAAGTAAAAAAAAACTCACAGATGCCTTGTTCATCTTTCTGTAGACACTGATTTGTTCAAACATTTTTATTTCCTTGTCGCCCTATTGAAACAATGAGTATTACAGTCTAATAACCATGAAGACAAAAATTAAATACGATAACCAAACTTCTATAATATCCAATAAATTTAAATTCATTTTTAATTTGATTATTCGTCTATTTTGATGTTAGAAAATTTTGTATTGACAAGATGGCAAAATTGTCGTGCAAAAGAATGTGCTGGATTCGATAACGAAAATATGAATTCAAACACTCTGCCTAATGAGCAATATAGTCTCCAGCACTACATCTTCATCAGCTGAATTATATTGTAACAATAACTGCATCAACCAGGGATCAAAACAAAATAGAATAAAACCATTCAAATCTCAAATGATACATTTTGAGTTAATTCAGGCAAACAAATACCATCATGGATACAATATGACATTGTGAATTAACTGGTACATCAACACTTTCTAAGTATACCCGAGTAAAACAATAATGGTATATCGGTGTAACTGATGTAATTATTGATACAACATGAGTATAAGGTAGTAAAAATACAATTCAGTATGAAAGTCTTGTTTCTTAGAAAAGTACGACACACACCTGCATGTTGCCCAAGCAGTTGAGGACATATACCAATTACTGGGATCTTATTGTATTAACCCTTTTTAGTAAATTCACAAAATGGACCCCTTGCAATTTTAGCATATATAATTATTTTGCGATTTCATCATCTAAGAAATTTGAAAGGCCTCTTTTGAAGTTTCCGAATACTTCTAAATGGACATAGCTTACATATATACCAGTGTTGATTCCAACAACATCTGGAGATCGAACCAACCAATTATACCAGATAATAAAATTACATACTGATATATATTTACAATAGAAGTAATCACGACCAGAAAATGTTCAGGTGTGTGAAGGTACGTTAATTAATAATGGGAAAATAACTTCTGCATTTACAATAAAGAAAACATACAAATTCTGTGATTTTTCTATTGTGATTTTGAAAGGGTCACTAAATTTGCAAAATAAATTAGATACACGCAAGAAATCCTGACATAGGCATACCGGTGTGTCCTGTACATGTAGGTGTAAGTTTTAACAGAATGACATGAGAGCAAGCATTTTTTGTAAAAATATACAAATAAAATATCGATAGACTTAAAATGCAAATTACACTTAATGGCAAAAAATACATAAAAAACGTAAAGCAAATATTGGAAGGATTGTCTTCGTTGCTATGCAGAGTAAATAGTTGCAATTATTTCCTTTTTGTAAACATGTACTTGTATTCCTTAAAAAGACCTTATCTCAGTATTTTCATTGTGATGAACTTTCAGTTTTATGTTTCAAAATTTTTTGTAACATTTCATTCATCAAGGCTAAGAATAAGATTGTGAAACCGGCATCAATAGCTTTCATTGCTACAGCACAGATTGGTACGTAATCCAAGTGATTAATAAATAACAAAGAATATATAGAATTTTCTCTAAACAAAAGTTTGATAAATCATAGTGAAAAATCTTAAATAGTACGAAGGCATGAGGATGCAGTCAAAAGAGAGTGAACTATGACAGAATTTCTGTTTTGGGTTAAATACAGGCAAAAAAATGTGTGTCACTTGCCTTATAAAAATAAACCCTTTTTTAAATGCTGGTCCTTCCAAGTTTACCCTCTAGCTAGTTACCCGCCAACTCCACATATCACAGGTGAAAGTAAAGTTCAAAGATGATGATAGAAATCAATGAGTTTTTATGCCACAATATAAAACCCAATAATGAGATATCCAATAATATCCAACAGAGAGGATAGCACAGAAACAAATGCAAATAAATACAGGAAGTACATGTAAAGTCATGGAAAATTTTCTATCAAAAACGTCAATGTAAATACATATCTGGTCAATCTACAATACCTCTTCCTCAAAAAATAGAAAAAAAATTATCAAACAAGAGGCCTAAAGGCCTTAACAGTCATCTGACTACAAAAACTTCAGCAGGAAGAAGGGTTCTTTTTTTTCTGTGAATGAAAGCTTACTAAGAAGCTGTTTTCCTTGATGCAGATGGTAGTTTTGGTGAGGAGTAGGAAACAGTAATGAGTGTTATCCATTTTTTGACAGTAAACTTGCAGCTTAATCCAAGTGGTGAAACTTGAGAAAAAGTTTGAAATAGGTGTTGCACAGGAAAACCATGAATGCGCAATCATGTTAGAAAATGGCCACCCTGGCTGTTGTATTGAAGTTTTGACAAGGTCGAAAAATAATAACACTTTGTTGGCTACCTTTCCTTTACATTTCCACCAATTTTTAGCTCAATGCCACCTGTGGAACTGGTGAAAACGTTTAAAATATGTTTTTCAAGATGGCGGCCATGGCGAGTTTGAGCTCAATCCCACAAGTGGAACTTGAGAAGAAGTTTGAAAAGTCAGAAGCTTATGCATGGAGCACAGCGGACAACAAAGGACAAAGCATGACAGCTACAGGTCATCATGACCTTTTGGGTCAGATGACCTAAAGCCAACTCAGAAGATGAAATCAAGGCCAATTATCCTGGTTTAAGTCTGTCATGATGGGCTGGATTTCACAAAAAGGCACAAGAATATTGAACAATTTTCCAATGGAAAAACATCTGTGACTTTTACAACCTTTCATACCTTGGTTTTCTCCTATAAGCATAAACATCAATATCAACACCCATACTTGTGTGTGTTATAACATCAGGATAGAACTCATGGACACTTTTACAAACAATCGCTACACCCTGTTTTACTCCTTATGCATATAAACATAAAATTCCATACCATTGCTTGTATGTGTAATAATATCAAGAAGGAACTCGTGGGGAGTAGCTAACAATATTTGTTGGAAAGTTAGAGACATTTATATTTTACAACATGATTAATTAATTAATTTTTTTTCAATGTTATTTACTTGTTTATGCTAAACAGTATTACAAAGTTAAGGGTAGGTACCATAGATTATGCTTTAATCATCAATTCAATGACTAGGTTTTACTTTGTACTTTCAACCAAAATAATCACTTCAAACAACCGTTAAACAAACTACTTAAATCACAAATATTTTTTATCATTAGGAAAAATTTATACATGGCCATGAAGCATGTGTATATCAATTGGTATTGAATTTAGTAAACAAGGCAATTTCATTATAACCTTTGAAACTTTATAAATATTTGTATAAAAAACACATGCATTTAAAAAGAAACTTTTGAGTTCAAAAATATAAGTATCAAAAAATAATTTTTATTGCATGAGTTGTAAAAAGTAACATAATGGAAAATTTGTTGTAACAAACTTCATTATGTACTTTAGACTGATATTTTTTATCTATCATTCGTTGTTAGTTGCTTTTACTCAAATTTGCTTGTATTCCTTTCGGAAGCGTTAGTTTAAAATGAGATATCACAAAAATCAGAGTACCTATAAAAATCAAAGCCCCAAGTCAAACTCCTGTCCAATATACTGGTGTAGTAACTCTCACCCAATATACTGGTGTGGTAACTCTCACCCAATATACTGGTGTAGTAACTCTCATCCAATATACTGGTGTTGTAACTCTCACCCAATATACTGGTGTAGTAGCTCTCACCCAATATACTGGTGTGGTAACTCTCACCCAATATACTGGTGTAGTAGCTCTCACCCAATATACTGGGTGTAGTAACTCTCACCCAATATACTGGGTGTAGTAATCTCTCTCACCCAATATACTGGTGTGGTAACTCTCACCCAATATACTGGTGTAGTAACTCTCACCCAATATACTGGGTGTAGTAACTCTCACCCAATATACTGGGTGTAGTAACTCTCACCCAATATACTGGTGTGGTAACTCTCACCCAATATACTGGTGTGGTAACTCTCACCCAATATACTGGTGTAGTAGCTCTCACCCAATATACTGGGTGTAGTAACTCTTACCCAATATACTGGGTGTAGTAACTCTCACCCAATATACTGGTGTAGTAACTCTCACCCAATATACTGAGTGTAGTAACTCTCACCCAATATACTGGGTGTAGTAACTCTCACCCAATATACTGAGTGTAGTAACTCTCACCCAATATACTGGGTGTAGTAACTCTCACCCAATATACTGGGTGTTGTAACTCTCACCCAATATACTGGTGTAGTAACTCTCACCCAATATACTGGTGTAGTAACTCTCACCCAATATACTGGTGTAGTAACTCTCACCCTATATACTGGGTGTAGTAACTCTCACCCAATATACTGGTGTAGTAACTCTCACCCAATATACTGGGTGTAGTAACTCTCATCCAATATACTGGGTGTAGTAACTCTCACCCAATATACTGGTGTGGTAACTCTCACCCAATATACTGGTGTGGTAACTCTCACCCAATATACTGGTGTGGTAACTCTCACCCAATATACTGGTGTAGTAACTCTTACCCAATATACTGGTGTTGTAACTTTCACCCAATATATTGGACTATGTATTTCTAATCTACGTGTAGGATGATTTAGCTGGACTCTGCAGTCCGATATGGACAGGATTCTTAGCATCAGCAATAACTCGGACACCCAGATATGAAATGAAACCCTCCATTGTGAATCCCAATCCAGATGAACTGAGAATGAGTTCATAGGCTTCAGCTTCTTTGTTGTACTGATCGATGATAGCATTGGCTTCAGAAATTGCACTGAAATTAACAGAAATTAAGGAATATGAAATGAGCTCAGTGGTATACGATGGATAAAATGGTGAGCAGGAACGTAAAAGGAACAGAACATTACACTGTTTGTATACAGTATATTATATTGCGCCTGAATGTAGGAGGAACAGGATATTATACTCTTCATTAAAGAAGTAAGAACAAAATAGTGTACTATTTGTGAATGTATAAGAAACAGGATATTGTACTCTTGAATGAAGTAGGAAAAACATGATATTATACTCTTTGTGAATGTAGGAAGAACAAAATACTATAATGCTAGTTAAATTAGGAGGAACATGATATTATTCTACTTGTTACCATAGGAGGAACAGGATATCATACTCTTGATTGAAGTAGGAGGAACAGGAAATTATACTATTTGTCAATGTAGGAGGAACAGAATATCATAATGCTAGATAAAGGAGGAACAGGATATTATACTCTTCATAAAAGAAGTAAGAACAAAATAGTATACTATTTGTGAATGTATAAGAAACAGGATATTGTACTCTTGAATGAAGTAGGAAAAACATGATATTATACTCTTTGTGAATGTAGGAAGAACAAAATACTATAATGCTAGTTAAATTAGGAGGAACATGATATTATTCTACTTGTTACCATAGGAGGAACAGGATATCATACTCTTGATTGAAGTAGGAGGAACAGGAAATTATACTATTTGTCAATGTAGGAGGAACCGAATATCATAATGCTAGATAAAGGAGGAACAGGATATTATACTCTTCATTGAAGCTGTAAGAACAAAATAGTGTACTATTTGTGAATGTATAAGAAACAGGATATATTACCCTTGAATGAAGTAGGAGAAACATGATATTATACTTTTTGTGAATGTAGGAAGAACAGAATATTATAATGCTAGTTAAAGTAAGAGGGACAGGATATTACACTCTTGATTGAAGTAGGAGGAACAGGACATTATACTATTTGTCAACATAGGAGGAACAGAATATTATATGATACTGTTATTTTTATTTTGTATTATAACCTTCATTCCAAACAAATTACAGAAAAAATATTTTGAAGCATTATTAGATTAACATCAGTGACTTGCCATATGTAAGTCAAGAGCACATTTAACTGGATTTGATGTACAGAAAAAATGCTCTCTGTGTTTACTTTTTAAATAATGCACAATTACTGATTAAGCACTTACCGATTTTCAAGAATCCTTGCGTCTGAGTTAGCTTTGTCCTTAATGATTTGAGCCTGAGTCTCTGCCTCTCTCTTTCCTGTGTCTGCTTCAGTTAGGAGTCGTGGTCTCTCATTCAATGCAACCTGTCAGTGCAAGGATAATATATAGCAAATTGCCAACGTATGGTATATCTACATCTGTAACTATGTACATCTCAGTCTCAGAGGCTTAATCATTATTATTACATATTGTACTCAAATTTTAAAGCTCTCATCAGTTTCGATTTTACACACTTAATCATTCTGATTAATAAGATTAGAATAAAAGTTGGGCTAAATGCAGAAGTTTCATGTATTTTGGGGAAAATTCAAAACAGGGCAAAAACGTTTGATGGTGAGAAACAATGTATGTAATTCAGGTACCTGGATATCCTCTCGTGCCCGTTCTTTGCTGCGGATGGCACTCTCATACTCAGCAGGACGTGCAATGTTGCTGACCTACAAAATATTATCCAGCATAATATCGTTTAGTTGCCAGTACCTGTATCTGCATTTTTTCAGTTGTATATCAGGTTTTAAATAAACAAAATAAATCTGTATTTCAGCTTCTTAACAATGACATAGTAAACGTATCTAATTCAGCTTCTTAACAATGACATAGTAAACCTATCTGAAACCACTCAATATCTACCCTAAGATAACAGGGAATCAAATCAAGTGGACTTACAATGACAGCAATCAGTAAGATCATTGGTAAAAGAAATCTGGTGGACTAGTGGTGACACAAAGGTGACACAAATCTGGTGGACTAGTGGTGACACAAATCTGGTGGACTGACTAGAGGTGACACAAATCTGGTGGACTAGTGGTGACACAAATCTGGTGGACTAGTGGTGACACAAATCTGGTGGACTAGTGGTGACACAAATCTGGTGGACTAGTGGTGACACAAATCTGGTGGACTGGTGGTGACACAAATCTGGTCAACTAGTGGTGACACAAATCTGGTGGACTAGTGGTGACACAAATCTGGTGGACTAGTGGTGACACAAATCTGGTGGACTAGTGGTGACAAAAATCAGGTGGACTAGTGGTGACACAAATCTGGTGGACTAGTGGTGACACAAATCTGGTGGACTAGTGGTGACACAAATCTGGTGGACTAGTGGTGACACAAATCTGGTGGACTAGTGGTGACACAAATCTGGTGGACTAGTGGTGACACAAATCTGGTGGACTAGTGGTGACACAAATCTGGTGGACTGACTAGTGGTGACACAAATCTGGTGGACTAGTGGTGACACAAATCTGGTGGACTAGTGGTGACACAAATCTGGTGGACTGACTAGTGGTGACACAAATCTGGTGGACTGACTAGTGGTGACACAAATCTGGTGGACTAGTGGTGACAAAAATCTGGTGGACTAGTGGTGACACAAATCTGGGTGACTGACTAGTGGTGACACAAATCTGGTGGACTAGTGGTGACACAAATCTGGTGGACTAGTGGTGACACAAATCTGGTGGACTAGTGGTGACACAAATCTGGTGGACTAGTGGTGGCACAAATCTGGTGGACTAGTGGTGACACAAATCTGGTGGACTGACTAGTGGTGACACAAATCTGGTGGACTGACTAGTGGTGACACAAATCTGGTGGACTAGTGGTAACAAAAATCTGGTGGACTGACTAGTGGTAACACAAATCTGGGTGACTAGTGGTGACACAAATCTGGGTGACTGACTAGTGGTGACACAAATCTGGTGGACTAGCGGTGACACAAATCTGGTGGACTAGTGGTGACACAAATCTGGTCAACTAGTGGTGACACAAATCTGATGGGCTAGTGGTGACACAAATCTGGTGGACTGGTGGTGACACAAATCTGGTGGACTAGTGGTGACACAAATCTGGTGGACTAGTGGTGACACAAATCTGGTGGACTAGTGGTGACACAAATCTGGTGGACTGGTGGTGACACAAATCTGGTGGACTGGTAGTGACACAAATCTGGTGGACTGACTAGTGGTAACACAAATCTGGGTGACTAGTGGTGACACAAATCTGACGGACTGGTGGTGACACAAATCTGGTGGACTGGTAGTGACACAAATCTGGTGGACTGACTAGTGGTAACACAAATCTGGGTGACTAGTGGTAACACAAATCTGGTGGACTGACTAGTGGTAACACAAATCTGGGTGACTAGTGGTAACACAAATCTGGTGGACTAGTGGTGATGGAATTCAGGTGGATTAGTCGTGACATAACACTGGTGGGCTAGTGGTGACACAAACAGGCAGACTAGTAGTTACACAAAACTGGTGGATTAATGTTGAGAGATATATAATAGGCTAGTGTTTGCAAACATCGGATGAATTATGACAGAAATAATTTCTGAAGCTCATCAATTTTATTTTTCTTGTTTTGAAAATTCCATGTCAACCCTCTTACCTGTAAGTCAGTTAGGTCAGCATTCAACTCGTCATATCTGACCTGGAGTTTTTCTCGGACTGTTTCCTGGAATGCCCCTCGTTCCGCCTGGAACTGAGAGGTGTTGAACTGACTACATGCCTCATGGAGAGCTGACTGACCTATAAGGGAAAATCCTATTGTAATCACAACACTGATAACATGATATCCAGCAAGATCTTGTGCATGATCAGGTTGATCCTGTCTTCACTTTTACCATCTTTCCTTCAAACCATTTGTTGTATTTTAATTTGTATCAATATTAATGATATAATTATATATGACACAATACATTATTTTTGTATATTTTGTGGGTAGTCTTAGTCCATATGTCCTTGTAATGATCAAAGTTCACAATGACAGAAAATTTGTGAATTCTATGAGATCCTCAAATATGAACTTTGCAGAAAGTTTAAAATGACCAAATACAAAATGCCACCAGTGCTATCTTGTATACCACATCAAAACTCATAATGTTGCATGTACATTTAGTCATAATGAACATGCATGCGTCAAGTAAGATCCATTCAGTTGTAATACTGTACAAAGTTAAGTCTTCATAAATTCACTGTTGTTTATCTCACCTGCATACTTAAGAACATCCTTGTAGCCATCGTAGTCACGGAAGTCAATGATCACTTCACGCAGCTTCGCAGCCTTAACTTTGTACTGGTATGTCACATCAAGAACAATTTGTACGCCATCTTTGTTGAGACACTAAAATTCAAAGAAACAAAAAACCCTCAATAACAAGTGGCCAAATGGGCCTGCATCGTTCACCTGGTATTCAATGCTCGTTAAAAACAGAATCTGTGTTTATAATAAACATATTTACTCGTTCATCATCCGATCAATTTTAACCAATTTCCAGAACAATTAGCTTCTAATGCTCAATTCTTCACAGTGACAGTTACGACCTGGTAAACGTCAGTTGTTGTTTTTTTTTCTATAAAATTTGTCAGGCTTAGACTTAGAAACACCTTTCCACCAAATATCTTGCTTCTCAGTCTTATACAGGTTTTGAGAATTTGCCCCATGACCTTGAATAAGGGTCAAGGTCATTGTAAATTTCCACCTTGAACTATTGATATACATGCATAACTTCAGACAACAACAAAAGATACTTAAGAACATATTATATCGAAGTGTAAACCATATTACTTCAATCTTATCAGTCAAAAGTGAAAAACAACAACATACAGTGAGGTCACTGAAGGTCATGGAGCGATAGACACTGGGAAAGATGATGAATTCAAATCCTGGAGGTCCAGTGTGCAGTCCTTCTTTTCTGACCTCTGTGTCCAGAGACTTCTGAATTGTGTCATATTGGACACCCACTGAATGGTATAACAAGTTCTGTATTATGGTACAGGATTCAACTTTACATTTCATTACAGATATTCAAAACTAATATGCATATTCTTTATGTTAAATTTTCTTATAAAATCTTATTAAGAAGAAATATAATCATGTTTGGAAATTATATATAATATATAAGGAATCAATAATAAATATCAAAATGTGGTACATACACTTACATATGTTGGGTTTTTTTATCACTTCCTTCATTCAATTATTTTACTTTTAAATACTTTTAAATATGTTTGAAGTTATATGTAAAGCTAATGTACATGTATCATGTGTAACAAATATTTTTACTACAGTTTGCTACATATTCTGCACTCCCAACAAAAATGATGGTTAATTGATCAGGGCTGTGAACATTAGTTAGCAAACACCAGATGCATATGGTGTAACATGCAAGTAATGCAAATAAATTGTTAGAGGTGAAATTAACATTAGGTGAATTTTACAGGTGAATTAGGCCTTGTGGAATTTGCATTATGGATGAACAAAAATCTTATAACTGAATTAAGCCAAAGGTGACTAAATAATATATGAATATGAATTTTACAGGTGAATTAGGCTTTGTAGAGTTTGCATTATGAATGAACATAAATCTCATAATTGAATTAGGCCAAGGGTAACTTAATACTACATGAATATGAATTTTACAAGTGAATTTGACGGATGACATAATGAAAGTTTTCTTATATAGAGTATTCACAGACTTTTGTTTATTGTGGATGTAAATTGAAGGTAAAGCTGATCAAATCAATGACAAATTCACAATTGATTAAAATATTAATTCCATCCCAATGAGGTGACAACCCGATCCAAAACATGGTCTATCAGAATTCCAAATGAAGTTACATGCATAAATCCAGGAGATAAAAGTCATAAAAAGTGCCAATGAAAATGAAAACTAGACACATGCTCAAGTTTTGTTCTACTGATAACTTCACGCTTGAGTTTTGATACAGATGACTGGTAATGCGGGGACTTACATAGACATACCTTCATCTGAAGCTAACTTCTTCAGAGACGATGCTACTATACCGATTACAGTTGCTATGATAGCAACCACAATGATACCAATGATAAAACATTTCCTTTTTTGTTTTTCATCTAAAGCCATTTTCTAATACAAGCAGTTTCCGACGGGTATTTAGCAAGTATACGTGGGATGTTTTTTCTGCAAAATTGGAACAAACACAAGCTATACAATTTGCATGCTTCTATTCAATATTAATTCTAAGATACATGTGAAAGTATTACACAAAATGCATTTTGAAAATCAAACTTCATCCAATCAAAGGCCAACAAGGACAGGTATTGTGCAACACTGAAGCCAGATTAGCATTAAATACATATAAACAAGTATGAGTATATATCTCATCATATAAGCACATTCCATTTGGTTTAAGTGAAAAAATGATGTAATTTAAAAATAATTAAATATCTATTGTCCAATCAAGGGACATAATTCTGTTTAGTTTTGGTTAAAAATGACATAATTTGAAAATAATTAAATATCTAAGTCCTATCAAGGGATATAATTTAAGTAGATTTTGTCAGCCATGTATACATGCATAATATTGGTTAAACACTGGTATTACATATTGTAGAAAAGGTGTTATATATATATAACATGGCTGAAAAGATTTTAATGGAATGTGGCTTATATATCAGATAAATACATCATCAACTGACTACAGTCAGTGTACTCTTATTAAAGACATTTCTTTAGACACATAACATGCTGAAGAGGGGCCCCAGAATATAGTGTTTAGCATTACATTGTCTCATTCCAAATTAAAGTCTTGAAAATATCATAACAGATATTCCACACCATTAACTTCTACATATACCTTTGTTAACACCATAAGGTTTGTATATATGGTACATGTATGTGTATACAGTATCATGGAAAAACATGCAGAATGTTCAGATGAAAATAATTTCCATGACAACACTTTAAGGTTTCCATGACAACTCTTGAAGAGTCAGTAAGCACCCACAATTGTGGATATGTATCATTGATCTCCTACCCCAATCCACCCCGGATTTACTCACTGCGGTAATTCTAATTAGTATCATACATCCTCCACCTGACACACAAACAGTACTGTATTTATCCAGCAGCAGACCTAGGGAGCCAACACATAACTGCAGGATGGGGATCAAGTGGACTTATTCCAAGTTTTTTTTTTGTTTTGTTTTTTGTAAAATAAAATACCACTTTTTTGTATTTCTGTAAAACTGAACGAGACATGGGTGGGCTTATTAGCAGACATAGACCTAGTGCTGGATAAATACAGTAGAAATGCACTAGCACTTTGCAACATGCATTTACAACAGAACTTAAAATAGATTGAAAAAAATACATACAGTGATCAGTCTACAATTTCTTTTCACAAGTCCCTTTCAATTTTATTACCAAAAACAATGTGTCCCACAATGTAAAATGTAAAGTATTTTCAGAAATTTGTGGAATCACATCAAAATTCTAGGAGTACAAGACTTGCATGTAGATTTATCATTGTACATATGAACAGGAATCATTGTATTACTGGGATTCAAGCACCATTATAATAACACATTCATACAGAGATTAGTCTGGATTTTTGGGTAAGAAACTTTTTTGGACAAAGAAAGAAAGGAATGCGTGGGCATTATATATGTTTTCCCAACATAAATTAATTTCCAATCAATTGATTGAACTTTTTATCAGAATTGAACAGCGAAACATACTGCTGCTATTAACAGTGAATTAAATTGACATATCCTTCAAAACATACACTTTTAAAAATCTAGAAAGATGATTCCTTCAACAAGGATGTGCAATATATGTTCTATTAATTAATCTATCTGTAAATTTTTACAAAAACAGGTTTTCTTTTAATGTTACAAAAGAAAACAATAAATGAAGGGACAATACCCACAAATGGAACAGACTAATCCCTGTCATACAGTAATGCATGCTGTTCTAAATCAAAAGGGACGAGAATAAACCTTCATCGCTGGCAAGTTTTTTCAGTGACGTGGCGACTAGACCAATAATTAAGGCAATAATAACTGCTATTATTGCCAAAACTACAAAACATGTCCTTGAGCCATTGTCGCCCATTTTCACTTCTGATCCTTAAAACTTCAGTGGCTGAAATAAACACTTTCTGAAACAAAATGGAAGAAATTAATTTTTATCCTTTATGATACAGATAATACACATAACAATTCATTATTATGAAACAAAAGACAATTTTCCTTTTTACTAACCATGGCATATTATCAATAAAATCTGTACACTACACTCTCTTTTAAAGATTGATTAAAATTTTCAAGGAGTTTTGAGTTCATCAATGTTTTATACCGTATATGGTGTCCCTAGAGGCTATATGCCTCCATATTGTTCAAGGTATCAAACATTTTATATTGGTTGAAAAAGTTACTATCACTTTTGTAGGGAAAAAAGATCATATAATAGAAAGGAAGATTGATGTTTAAAACAAATTTCTATATTGTATCATTTCTTATATGATGATGTAGACATGTTAAATATTGATTTTTATATATGTAAAACAATAATGTCAGCACACTGGTGCACACGCTGGCCATGGGATTGTTAGTCACTCTTTCAGAATCAATATTTTCATGAACCAGGCTTACAAGTATGCATGATTATGTAAACGTATAGATTTTCATATAATCAAACTAATCAAAAATGGTCGGCTATTTCATATCTTTGATTTTTCATTATATATGAATATATTAGTAGAAAATTACTTTATTTTCAAAAATCATAAACATCACACCAAGAGGTCATATAGTTCAACTTAAGCCCCAAGCTTCTAATCATAATCACTAATCTGGAATCTGGTAAAAAAAAAAAAGAGGAGAAAAATCAGATCAATTTTAAAATGGTTTCGATATCAGATTTCTTCATATCATATTAATTACAATTAGTACATGTATGAAGATGTCATCAAAATTATTATTTTAATTTGTAATAGCAGGTAAATACACTGCAGTAAACCTCTGACCAGTTCAAATAGGCAGGTAGTTCAAAACTTTTTCAATAAGTTTGAACACTTCTGCCTTTGTTTGACTAGCAATTTGAATTTTTCAAACATGTCATAAGATTGTTTGTGACTTGATATCTGTATGCCTTTTTGTTGTTAGTGATATTGGTGTCGCAATAATCACTCAAGGTGGTCACCACAAACACTGCTGGAAGCGGGCTGTAAATGACCATCGTAAGCAATGAATATTGCCAAATTATACACGCAATAGACATCACTTAATGTCACAATTTCAGGCCCGAACTATGCATTTCAGGTGATCAATATGCTGAGCATGGATTTTAGGCATATTTATTGTTAAAGAGCAACGCTGTTTTCTTCAGTTTGATTAGACAATCATGTCAAGGCTATACCTATTTATCATGTCAAATAAATAACTGGTGGATTCATAGATATGCTTCATAAACACAAATGAAATTATTTCAAGTAACATTAATTCATAGCCATAAGTTTCAATCCGCACTCCTCCATTTACTGATATGTCAACACTACCTTCTGCTAATACACAAGTAGACATAGTTCTTAGGGGTTTTTGAAGATAGAGATGGGGAGGAAGGGGCTAATATGAGTTCTTCACAGCAATATCTAATGTGAAAGGAGAATAAAATGTAACCTGTGATTTCTTACAGTCAAACAGTCAATTACATGTAAGTGTTTCAAAAGATAATCATATCAAATATGCCATACAAGTCATTATTGATTGGCAATTTCCTTTATTGCTAGCTAGGTAGCTAGCTCTGAACGTAACAGGAAGAAGTTTGGAATACTGAAGTACAATAGGCCAGAACTGCACTTAATTATTATTTTACCATAATTTGAACTGCATCTCTGAAGGTTGAAACCGTGCACGAAATTTTAAGTAATTACCTCTGAACATAGATTCAAATATCTTCAAAACTGCAATATTTTATTTGAGGGAGGGGGGGGGGGGGGGGTCCGGAAATGCGCCATTTAGTCGTACTTCAGCTGAGTGTATTATTTCTGGGGCTTCCTGCTCGATCACACGTCAAAGCCGTCGCTGTATGAAACTGCGATTGTCAAATAAAGGAAGTGGGTGCTCAAAATGCAACTTAAATACGTGACTGCTGAGATAAAATTATTTGTGTTTGAAGAGACGGATTTTCAGCCCTAATCGCTTATCAACGACATAATAGGAAGTCAATTGACTTCTTTCAGAAGGCCTAGGCCTGCTGCCAGCTGACTACAGAATTTCGTAATACCTTTTTCAACATTTCAGGGTGTTGGTACCTTACCTTGTATCACATCTGATAGGCAATTAAAAATCTAAATATTTGACGTTATTGCTAATCTTTGAACATCGTTATTTGAATATTCTGTCAATAATGCATTTCTTGGGCCGAATAAAGCAAACAGTAAACGAATATTACAGAAACTTTTAACTTACCCTTTCCACTTCCGACACTGTGTTTCTTGTTTCCTGGCGAAACAAATTAACCCTTAATAACCCCTGTCTTTATTGTTATTATTATAGGAAGGCGTCCTCGTTTTGGATTTAGCTGCGTGAACATTTTACGTTATGGAACGTATTGATCACAAACCACCCTGTTTATATAAATTTCTTATAAAGGATAAGACGAAACGAAAACGGCGTACGTCGCCAGAACATTGGCGTCCGTCAGTGAGACGATACCCGGACACGGGAGGAGTCGTGGAGATGAAAAAAATCTGTCAATAAACCAAACAGAAAAGGACATGTTTACCGGACAGGATCATTTCTGATCTTTTTCACGGCACTCAAAACGGCTGAACGATTTCCCCCAAAACATTCAAAACTACTTACAAACATCCAATAACCTGCCCAAACGACACTTTAGAAACAGGAAACAATAATCAAAGTACTGAAAGTACTGAGAGGCTAAACGTATTGGAAAATGTTAACAAATAACCGCTAAGCTATATTACTTTCCCCACACTCCTACACTTTGGAATGCAAAGAATACTAAAATAAGAGAACCAGAGGTTATTTGTCTTAACTTTAAGTGATCTTATATCTTCTTTAATTCTTATTTCAAATTTGACGATAATAATGTGAATAAATCAAAATTGGTACAAAGAAATTAACAAAATACACACAACCATATATTTATCGCCAACAAGCCAAATGATAACTAGCTCTATGATGAAGTTGACTAAATAAAACCTTTGAAATACCCAAGATTTTGCAATTACTATCCTATCAATATGAGGATTTAGACAAATCGAAAGGACTTTATACCTACTTCTTTATTTTGAATTAATTGCAAAGTTATAGTCCTTACTTATTATAATTATATTTGTAGTTGAGGAAAGTAGATAAGGTACACACAGCATTTCAGACAGATAAAAGTGTAAGTAATTACATTAAATGTATTTACATGCCTATCTTCCTTGAAGTATCATGGTTAGACTTTCCTTCCAGTAATTATGTCTATAAAGGCATAGTTCTATGAGATTAAACCTGATTTCCATGTATATACAAAATTTCCAATATTTTCACTATAGCTACTACTTTTTCTGATCTCCAATGCATTAGATAATGTCACCATGACACACTAAATGAATAAACATGTTATGGAAATATTTCGTTTTAGTTAATTGATAATTATAAACATGAATATTTTGGGGTTTTATATACGCTCTTTGTTTGAAGGAATATTTTCATTTCAAGGAACTTTGATATACATTAACAAATCTTGAGAAATCAGCACAATCAACCTTCATCAAATAAAACTAAAAGACAAAAAATATAAGTTATAACAAAGTCAACATCTTGATCAGTACAGTATTAAAAATATATCATTCATAAATCATGAGCACCAAATGTACATTGCCTACGAAACGCAAAATTTTTATCTTCAAAAACTTGAAAAAGTGTCATGGCGGTGGGTGTGAAAATCCTGAAAAAAAGTGTCATATCGGCGGGTGTGCGCGTAGGACGAACAGTCCAATTTTGTGACGTCTAATGAGGTAAAGTGATGTTATATATTAAGACGATCTCGCCACAACGACAAGGATTAAAGCAAAATTGATGTTCTCTTTGTAAGTTTTGTTTGTTTATCAGTGCTGTTAGTTGATAATTCAAACCCAAGCCCCCAGACTAGCTTCTTATCATGGCGCCAACTCGCACGTACAGTGTTCTGTACGCTTACGTCATGTCGAGAATTCCGTAAAATATATTGTTCAAAATCTATCAATAGTTCAACCACACTGTGCTTCGTTTTTGAAATATATAGTAATCGTATTGTTATTAATAAAAATAAACTAATTTTGGATGCTTTTAAAATAGCGATTTGAAAAATCGCGGCATTATTTACGCAGAAAATTGCCGCTAGAGGGCTCTAACTCTTTCCGATATTTCAGCCAATGAGAAAGTCAGGATCGGTAAATTTTGTCTGAAAGGCCGTCGCAATAGGCTATGCGTACTGAGTACGTTTAGCCTAAAAACGGGTGATGTAAAATACACATTCCTTATGAAATTACGACTCTCGTTATTGTTTAAGAAGGGAGATAACGCTTACACATCGGCAACAGATATCTGCGTTACGGACAAATATACTTACTTGTATTACAAGTTCATTGAAATTAACAGAAAAAACCCCTTTGCGCCTCACTTGGATTTCCAAGTGTCTGAAATGGGTTCATTTTACGGAGTATGTATCTGAAGCGAGTATTTGATATGAAAACCCGTCACTGTGAACGTGACCGCGGCCGGGACATAGAACTTTTTTTGGTTAGTGGGAAGATACGGCGGCATTAAAATACAACACCGTGGATACGCGAGAACCGCAGAAGTAATTGCTGAAGCAAGGATAATGGCATTTTTATCGGAAACCAGATTTACACCAAAGTTCTATGGGTTATTGCCAGACCCAACAGATCCCAGAAATCTACTTATTGCCATGGAAATGATTGGATCAGGCATGACTTTGAGAAAAAAGATTGAGGAGAACACACCAACTGAGAGACAGAAGCTATCGATATCATTGCGCCTCAGTATAGGACTTCACACCATTCATGACAAGAACGTTCTGTTGAACGACCAAAAAGACGACAATGTTATTGTTTATTCGTTAAATGGAACAGTGTTCCAGGCAAAGTTAGTATTCAATATTTATAACAGTTCGTTTTAGTCAAAAGAAGTTCACATACTAGCTATCATTGTCTATGTAATACAGAATGATGGTAGAATTTGTTATCAATATTACTAACAACAGACTGAATCATTAAGATATGTACGTGCTACTTATTAAGCAAAGCATCATTTGATTGCAATGCTGCAGATTTAGAGTCCAGTGAGTCACTTTGACAATCCATAGTAATTTCATATACAAATTATTTCGTTCTTATGCTTTATATTACAGATTTATTGACTTCGGGCACGCATCATGTGGATTTGAGAAGCGGTATGGTGGCAATGCCACAACGAACGCCAGATGCACTCACTTAGCTCCTGAAGTCAGAGCAGGAGAACCAACCAAGGCTTCCTCTGATGTTTACAGTCTTGGATTTGTAATGGCTCTGTTTCGGATCGACAAACTAGCTAACATTGTGAGTCAATGCATGGGTCATGAACCTGGTCAGCGACCCTGCTTACCTATTGTCGTGAGGAATCTGATGGATTTGATGTAAATTACTTAAATCCGATCTATTACAACAATGTACATTCTAAATACCGGCTACCTACTTCGATCTGTTTAAACAGGAAGTCATCAAACCACAGAAAATTTCTTTCATTGTGCCAAATATTTTGATTGTTCATTCCAAATGATTGTATTTTAACATACGTTATTCGTTATCGTGTTTATACAACTAGAGGCTGTTCTATTTTTACTTCTGTTTATTTTACATACCAAAGCATTAACATATATATCTATGCAGTTACGGACATTAACAGATGTTAATAGAACTTGGTATGCAACCATAGATCTTTCATGAGTTCGAAAATAGGACCGATTCTGTAGTACTTCACAAAGTTATGGCCGTTTGCAGTTTTATTTCCATGGACCTTGTGAACATGACAACTTGAGTAAATATGATAAGATTTGGACAAAAATCTTGGTATGCAGCCTTATATCAAATAAAAGCTAAAATGAGTTGAACAATGGGATGATTTGATGTAGCTGATACAGAGTTATCGTCCTTTGTAATTTAAGTTCGTTTTAGATTAGACAGGTGGCAGCTTAGGCCTGTTGTAATTGTCAATGAGTAAATATCAGAAGACAGAAATAAATAAACAAATAAATAAATAATCGATAATAAAATGAAATAATAAAAGAAGATGGATCAAAGGATATTTTTTTCAGACGAAACCAATCCTTATCTCATGCACATATCTGTTATAAGAAAAGATTGATCAATAACTGACAATAATTGCTGTATTATACTCTATCTATCTGTACAGTTGAATTAAAAGATGCTATTCAAAAATGCATCTTTTGTACAATATTTGTATTGTACTAATTTTGTTTAAAATCGTATTTTCTTTAGAGGTATATTTAAATAGATTTTTAAAATTATCTAATCTCTAAAAATCCATTGTAAATATCGATCAATATAGTCAAAACACTTAAAAAAAACTCATTTTGACTGTGCTGCATATCAATAACTTGGTATTTTCCTCGAGACCCACTCTTACGTACACGCTTTTCAAGAAATTGCGTTAACAAAATATTAGTGACAAAATCCAAGATGCCCACCAATTTGTTTTTTCAGATCAGTCCCAAAATGGGACACTGCTGGGGACCTAGGGAACTTGCTTATGAAATTTGAAAATGATGTATAGAGTGCTTTTCAAGACATAGCGATAACAAGTTTTTTTTTTTTTAAATTACGGCAGGAAGACGGACGGACGGTTGGACAGACGACAGAAGCAGGACGAAGGCTGATTTGATGACGGTGGGCTGATCAAACAGTCACTCCTCAAAAGAACAGGCATAACGAGATGTTTCGGAAAACTCAGCGTTTTCTGCTTTATCCACGACACCCTCCATATCAGTCTTTGTCAATCCAAGTAAGAAATGTCACTTTCCCATATAAGAGCACGGTAAACAACAACAGAACCAACAGGGATATAAACAAACATCCAACACGCACGACTTTCTATCACATGATTAAAAAGAATAAAGAAAAACGTGCACATATCGCATATTTCTACATTGTTGTTACCGAATATCATCTATAAAACGTATTTCCTAGTTTGGACAAAACGGTAGATAACTCTGCAAAATCGTCCATCAGTGACCACATTATCCGTTATATGACCTAGTGCGAGGGGTTTAGAGGAAGTAAAATCTTGAACAACGACGACGACAACAACAACAACAACAACAACAACAACAACAACAACAAAATCATTCATGATGTAGACAATGATAAAGAAGTGACGAGTAATATATTTTCTATCTAATCTTTATTAAATGTAACAATACACTGTCTCTAGTGTAGTTCCGTCTAACAATATTCTGCATATAAGATAAATACGGGTAAGAAACCCCGATCTATTTTAAGGAATATGCGTAAAATCACTAAGAATGTCATTTGAAAGTTGTTGAAACGTTTCGACATCACGGCATCATTACAGACATGAAATAATCTCAATTATAAAAGGTGTAAAAAAAAAAAAAAAAGAAAAGTGAAATTTCAGTGACTTGACACTTAATTACATATCAGATCCAATGAAAGAGATTGTACAAGTGACATGCTCGTTGAAAGCGTCTTTCAATACAAATTTAGAAGTAGATGAAGTAGAACGAATTAATGAACTACTGTAAGCTGAAGCTATTTCGTCGCTCTAGGAGTCATCAGTTATACTAAGGGCCTTGATTTCGAAACCTAACACGCGACCAAGGAAACATAGCTCCGTAGTTAAATAAGTTCCTGATTTCTATACGTGATTATTTTAGAAAAAACATGAAGTATACGTGTATATTTAAAGTGTGGCATTTAGGTTTCGGCAAATCTCGGGGACTAAAATTTCACCAGCTGTGTCTACTACACGCAGTCTTGAAATTTGTCCAAATTATCTAAACAGTCGGAAATGTTTGGTTGTTTTACTGATGTGTTTACCTTGACGTAGAATTTTTAGTTTTGTTTGCACATCAGTGTCATCTTTGTGTTTTGGTACACCATGTTTCATTCAAGCGTATATTTAACATTGTTAAACTGAATATTAAATATATTTTGAAATACCTGTCAAGATTAAATGAGATTAAGTCTTTCTACTGCTCTTCTTTTTAAAACGATCTTGTCTGTCTTTCCATTTTTAAGTCTCGGAAAAGAGTTAAACCTGAGAAAGTACGAAGGTGTTTTTCCTAATACATGATTTCCGAGGATGACGCGACATTTCTTGTCCAGATCAACATTTGTTGTGTTTACACCATCCTTTAGTATGTAACAGGCGCAAACTTCCTCAAAGAGCCGAGTGTCCGGTACGCCAATAACAACAACCTCTCTTATCTCGGGCAGTGTGGACATCGCTGATTCCACTACGCTGGACAAAACCTTTAAACCCCCTCGCTTAATGACATCGTTTGATTTTCCTTTCAGAAATAACTTGCCTTCCGCGGAGATAATTCCAACATCACCAGTTCGAAACCAGCCCCCGTCAGCAAAAGCTTCTGAGTTCAACTCTGGATCACTTCGGTAGGACTTGAAAATCGACTGAGATCTTATAAGGATGTTTCCCAAATATCCACGATGTAGTGTTTCATCTGTGTCACCGATGACTTTGACCTCGTAACCCGGAAGTAGAGGCCCGACATACCCTTCATCCATTTTCGGAGTAATTTCAATCAACGACGGCGCTCCCATTTCTGTAGAACCGTAGCCCATGAACATTTTCTCTGTACATTTACCGCATATTTCTGTGAGATGACTGCTGATGTGTTGTCCACCCGTAAAAATGGCCTCCAGTTTATATTCTCGTTTGAGAATGGCATCAATGTTTTCCAGAATGTCCAGCAACGCGTAAGGTAGAAGAAAGGCATTTGCACATTGTTCGTCTTTGATGATGTCCCAAATAGTCAGTATGTTCTCCTTCTGCATGCTCATGGCGGTGTCAACAAATACCCGACTGACACCAGTAAGGATATTGAGAAAGACAGAGCCCGCAATCCAAGAGAATGGTCGGTCGTTGTAGCTAGTAGTAACTGGACGGTCATTTGTTATTCTTAAAAGGTAGAGATAGGGAGCATTGACTAATGACAAATGAGTCATTTCGACCATTTTAGGAACTCCGGTTGAACCGGAAGTGACTGATATGAAAGCGCTACTCTCTGGTTGTATTCTCGGAAGTGAGACCATTTCCTCCTCGTCAGCTGAAAGATTGACATCAGCCAATGATGGGAGAGCAGATAGTGTTGATTTTCTTAGTAAAAGAACAGTTGGTTTATCATTCGGAGATTCGTTACTGCCGAAGAACGCTTCCATATCCGACATGTATTTTTCGTCCGAGTCGGGGTCAAGCAACAGAGCGTTGCTTTTTGTTGACTTCAACACTTTTAAAGTTTCAGCGAACGACTCATCTGTTTTGTACAAATTGACAGCAACAGCTCCTGTCAGGATGATAGCGACTTCACCAATAACCCACTCCACAGAGTTCGGACCAATGATGGCCACAGTATCTCCTGGTCGAATGCCTTTAGTTATAAGGTATTTAGCTATGTAGCTAGACCTGTTCCACAGTTCGTCATATGTCAACGTCCTCCGACCACCCCCTACAAACCGCTGAATGATTATTTCTCTTTCAGGATTCTCCTCTCTCCTCTCCCGCAGCATGTCAGCAATTGACTTATACTGGTTTTGAGCAGGATTTGGACAAGACAGATAGCTAAGGTCCGTCATCGTAAGAACTTGGTCACTGTTGGTGTCTCTCTGTAAAATAGTCATTACAAGCACAATTCAGAAAATAAAAATGTAAACGACAGGCCCAGGGGATGTGTGTGTGTGTGTGTGTGTGTGTGTGTGTGTGTGTGTGTGTGTTGTGAGGATGTGTGTGGGTGTGTAAGGGTGTGTGGTGGTGATGTGTGGTGTGAGGATGTCTGTGGGTGTGTGGGGTGTGTGGGGGTGTGAGAATATGTGTGTGGGGGGGGTGGGGGGTGGTGTGAGGATGTGTGTGGGTGTGTGTGTGTGTGTTGTTAGGGGGCCATAACGGTTACAACTCACAAACAGAAATAATCGAAATGAATAAGTCGTGAAGAGAAGAGACATGCTATGTGTATAGTGAGAGTAAAATTTTACTGAACTTTGAATTAATGACAAAATAAATGACTTGATAAAGTATTTCAAACTTTATCCTCTCAAAAGGGAGGGGAAGAGTTGTAAGACGCTTGGGCAAGAAATTTACAACTCTGGACAAGCCCATGTAAACCTTTCCATGCACGGGGAGTATTTAATAAATACCGTTATCGACATTTATAATTAAGATACAATATGGGATGTGTTACTGGATAATGTGACTGTTATCGCTCTATCAATTTTGGAATCAAATTTACAGTATTCTTGAAAACCTTCCGGACTTCTTTTACTTACCTTATCTCTGTCTAGCTGACGTTTTCTGTCCGTCTGTCACTTATGAGGATCGTCTAACGAGTGAGAGGGCTATTTCAGTCTTTGACCTCTATTAGAGAAAACCCTGATACTGCATATAATATTTGTTAAGCTACATTAATTTACAACATCACTAGATACTAAGTTTAAAGCCACATTCTCAGTGGCATTAACATATGCGCCCTCTTCATTATATTTAAATTTCAAATGATAAGGCCAAGTATGGCCCTGCATATTGTATATAGGAAACATGTTTTGAAACATTTGGTTCGGGATAAAGTGTTAGAGACAATTAGACGATCAATTAAGCATTCATTTTTTAAACTATTTACAAATACCACGAGAAGAACGTTGACATGACCTGATATTTTCGTGGGTCTTCCAAATTCATGATTTTTCAAAAAGTAGCTTTTAATTTGACATTTTATGTGATAGATAAATATTGCTCTATAATTCTGTATGTAACAGTAACATTTTTAAAAATGTATTTATGGTCGTATGACTTCGTGAAATTCGAGTGTCTCTAAATTAAAAGAAAATGAATTCCCCACGAACATTAAAGATTTTACAGTACAAATCATACCCCTGTACTGTATGGCTAAAAGCAAAATGTATTTTCTCTTTTGCGGTTTGTTCCCCTTTATATTACGATATGTTTTGGTGATGACTACTGGGCGGTTCGTGAGCATCTGGAACTGTGCATCAATTTCAAACCGCTGTCAGTCTTCGTGAATTGGTATGAAAAGTCGTTATCTATACTAACAGACAAAACAGTGTGCCCTTAGAATCTCTTTAACCGACACAGAACTTTTGTTTTGGCTTAATTTACTGAAATCTAATGGTCAAGTCTGATGTGTTGCTAAGAAATCGTTTGTGATGGACCTTGTCGAATGCTTTTGCAAAATAGAATAAGATAACTTAATTTGGTGTTTGCGTAGTAGAAATTAATTGAGTTTCACCGACCAAATTCCCATGAAGATTTTGTAAGGATAAATTTGTTTGTTGTTTCTGGTATTATTTATAAAAGGTATATTTGTCTTTTGATATGTTTCTCTATTGTATGTTGTTGTGGTTTTAAACAGATCTTCGTTTTATGAGTCCCATTACACATTGTTAATTTTTTCCTGGACAAAAAGTACCCATGCTTAAGAAATCAAACTTCAAACACATGGTAGAGATACGGACCTACTTCGTTTATATTGGATGAAGTATATCATTTTACATGAATATTTGTTAACAATACTGTATTGCCGGAGCGGGTAACTGCTCAACTAAATCAGCATCCAAACTTGTCGCTGTCGTCCATAGTATCGGTAAAAAAAAACCTTCATATGTGGAATTCATAGCATGCGAAGTAAACCACGAAGTTTATGATTTGTTTTGAACTACCATTCACGAATAAATGTCTATTTTATCGATACACTCGTAAATCCTATTCGATTTTATTCTCTTGTTGTATCCACTCCCCTTCCCAATTCAAGAAAAGCAATCGTCGAAAAAAGTAAAGTATGTCTCATCTGACGCCAAGATGAAATGTGAGGTTGGAATCACTAGATTGACAGCGTATATTATTATGTTGAAATGAAGCTTATTGCAGAACCTTTAAGGTAGGCCGCGTACAAGGTATTCACAAATTTAACTTAATAATTCGTCTTTTACTTTTTCAGGAGTCTCTGTGTAAATTATTCTTTTGTTCATAGTTTGCCCTAGTTTTATGAAATTATGATTGTGATGCCATGTTGGTATTTTCTTGATGTGTTTTATAAGTGATTTTTTATAAACAGAAAAAGGTAAGTTCGGGTAACCGCGATTTCGAATTTCAGTTTCTCATTTTGATCGAACAATTACTTATCAATATTCATTACATTTAATATATGCGCAATACAATAATATGTTATTCAGTTGAAAGTACATAGTAGTAACATTTCTACGTTTTAAAAGGACAGCATAAATACGTCACAAGCCAATATATGATTACTAACTAACCGATTGTATAAAGATTATGGTTATCCATAATTTAACTTCATTAATGGATACTCATAATTCCTTTATTTTTATTTCCCAGTTAACATCGATAATGTGACACGTGACATTGTCAGCAATAAATTGTTTTGGGGGTCGTGCGGTGAGTTCATGCCATTTGATAAATAAACCACAAATACGTATTCAGTAACAGGGATTTTACATTGATAAGTCTACAAATATGAATAAGACGGAAACGCTACAATGCAGCAAGTACGTTGAAAGAGATATCTGTCTTCCTATCTGTTGATGGCGGGCTTGAAAATAAAGTAGCAAAACTTTGGTCGCCTTCGCTTATGCGGTTGATACGATTAGATCGGCAAGATTGTGAAAGAAGACACTAATTGCAAAATCTGGACCAGGACTGGATTTCAGAATACATCAACATGACTACCTGTAGAAACTGACGGATTTGTCATGAATGTCATTACTTTTCAGAATTTCTGTATATAAAGAGCACAATCACTCCTATAAATTATATGACATGGCATTGGATTGAAGTGTATTGCTATCGGTTTGCTGTTTTATCTTTGTCATGAAATTCCCAAACTGATGAATAACAGTTCCAGCATGTGGTGCCTGCAGGTGCTTGTATTCCTCAGTGGTTATCTGGACCTTTTCAGTTTGTTTAAGTGAAAGCTGCCTTAGGCAGCTGGCTATATCTTAAAGACGGATCCCCACCATACACAGTGCCGAAAAACGAAGCTCTAAGAGCTTTGATAAAGGGATTGCATGATTCTCGAGGAAAATTTACTGCGCTATTCTTTTTAGAGCTGAAGTTCTGTAGCGCCTATACTGGGTTTTGAGTTTCCTTTCGTCGGCATTTTGCGATTTTAAGATCTTTTTAGTTTTCTGCTGTTTTCATAAAAGAAGCGGAACTGTTGTATAAAGAAATCCCAGTGATGTGATGATTGAGGACGAACGTTTGTCCATTGCATCAAGCGACTGCTTTCTCACAAATCCAGGTTCATATTGTAGCCAATGCGCACCTGCTACATTTATTTCAGGTGTCAGTTGAAGACAAGTTGTAAGGCCTTAGTCCAAGGCAATTATCACATCAACGTAAGGAGTTATATCGCATTTTATTAGCTCACCAGACAAAAGGGCCAAGTGAGCTGTAGGGTTATTGCGCCTTCCGTCGTCCATCGTCCATCTTCCGCATTCTTGTCAACTTTTCAACAACACGCTACTTGTCATGAACGAATGAGAGGAATTTTACCAAATGTGGTCAGAAGCATTCTTATGGAAATTGGAACATGTTTTGTATAAATAGTTATTCAAAATTCTAAGAACGGTACGAAAGTGGTCTGCATCAACTGTTGTGGGGAAGCAGAGAGTGTGGCGGAGCTGGGGAACAGAACTGGGAACACATGTGTCGGAAGGCAAGGTGTTCGCTGTTCATACTGCCAGCAGTGAGAAAGATCAAACACTCAGGAGCGACGGCAGATGGTTCAGAAGGAGGAGAGTAGAAGAGGAGAGACGGGAGCAGAAATCTGTTGAACTGAGTGCAGGGTGCATGGACCAGATGGAACCTCCCAGAGAGAAAGCTTACATGGGCGGAATTGTGGAGGATGGAATCCTTTAGGATCTCATTTATGATAAGATCAGTATATGACACACTTCCATCGCCCGTCAATCTGCACTAGTTGGGAACACGGAGGACCCGAACTGCAGACTATGTTACCAGAGTGGGTCAATGTCCCACATTCTGTCTGGATGCAAGAAAGCACTTCAACAAGGAAGCGTGACAATGTACTGAGTGTATTGGCTGATACCCTGGAGACGGAAAGACGGAAGAAGAGGACAAATAGACCAGCAGCACAATCTGCTATTCGGTTTGTTAGGCAGGGCGAGGTAGAGAAAGAAGGACGAGAAGCAACTCTTCTATCTTGGACAGGGCTCAGTCATGGGAGAAAAAGGTGAACTTGGACAGGAAACTTGTCTTCCTGTATGTCGTGGACACATTTTGACATGAAGAGCAGACCGTATGTCAATATATATGTAGACGAACCCATTTAGTGAATTAAGGGTAGGTTAGGATGTCTGTTTGATGACTGAAAAAAAAATCAAAAATAATTCATAAATGAACCATGCAGTTCGATATTCCTATAATGAAATTATGATAGTCCATCGTAACTATAATACAGACTGGTGTTATAAGTTTTCTCCAATGTTTGTCTGTGTTAATCTAAGTGTATACACGCGAACCCTATTACTAAATGTGAAGGTGGACAAATCGGTTCAAATGTGTGTGTGTGTATGCGTGTTTTTTT